GTCATTTTTAGTGGTTATTTTATGAGTCAGTACTTCTGGTAGTTGCACTTTCTCTTCTCAGGTTTGTGGACCTGCAGACATGGCAGTTATTGTAGATTGATGCAGATTAAAACATCAAACTCTGGTCCTATTTTATTTATTTACCAAACTTTTCCACTCACTGATCTACATGATGTATCTAAAATAAATAAATAAATCAAACACTAAAGGGTCATCTGACTCCTCTAGCCTGCAAACACCCTCGTCAGGCTTTATAAACCACACACTGCCAGGAAATAATCAAGCTGTAAAGCTACTGTGGAAATATGTGAAACCCTAACACTGGCTTATCTTAAGTTCCCTTTTAGTTTTTTACTGGTATAAACTTTGGTGCATTTCCAGGAAAGTATTTTTCACCAGAGCATTTCAGAATGAGACTAAAGCTGCCCACTCTTTCTGTTTCTCTCTGACAGTTTTCCAACTCTCTGAGTCTCATCTGTCTTTCTCTGACTTGACTCAGCTGGTGCTCTTCTACTCTCTGACCAGGTAAGAATCTCCTGTCTCAGCTACATAAAAAACTCTGCATGCTTGGTTATTGGTGGAATTGTGGACGTTGTGAAAGACTGTTCGAACCTGTGTTTAACCAAGTCATGTCTGTTTATCTCTTGGATCTCTCTCCCTCTGTGTTTCAGGGATGTGCTGGCTGTTTGTCTCCACATTCCTCGCTGGATCTACAGCGTAACAGACACAAACAAAGAGCGTCTTTCACAGCTTGAACCTAGTGCGTCCGGGCCTTCCTGAGCTTTCGCCTTTCATAATCTTCAACAAAACAATACAAAACCGCAAATAAGTACACTGTGTTGAGGAGCCTTGTCAGCCAATTTCACTGATTTCTCTGTTGCAGAAACTTGGCTTTCCACACCACCTGATCAACAGACTGATGAAATGTCCCAAAGGGAACCAAGCAGCATGATGTGCTCCATACAGGTATGTTGCTTATCTACGTGTATGTAGATTTTTGTGAGGGAGGGGAAGGGACTTAAGGGGAAATGGTGTCTTTACTTCCTTCAGTGGGTAAATCAATAGCCTGGTAATTCTCTCAGAAACAGAACATTCGTCATGCAACCAGAAGCACCACTCCAAAATAATGTTCATGTGCCCACAAGAACATTTAAATTAAGAATAATTTAACTTTCTAAAGTGGTTATATGTGTCTATTGTGTAACCAATAGGGATGGGTATTGATAAGATTTTCACAATTCTGATTCCATTTTCGATTCTGTTTAACGATTCGATTCTTTATCGATTCTCTTATCGATTCTTTTTAA